TGCAGCACAAGCAGGCAAGCCGATAGTTTGGCGCCTACCTTAGCGCATGAACTGGCAGATGGGGTTTGGGCTACGGTGCCTTGCAGGCGGGTCTACTACCTAACTCCACCAAAATACGAGAAAGGTCCACTTTGCCTGTCCACTGCCTTTAAGATTTTATCTTACTCTTTATTAGAGAGATTCTAGGACGCTAAAGCTGAATTTCATTTCTAAAATAGTACTAGTAAGTTTTATGAGCTTATTAAAGCGTGAATCTTGCAGGATGTGACAGTAAAGATGATGGATATTGATAGCGAACACCTTGGTATCCCAGAACAGGATTATGCTGTCGTATGCGAAATGCCATCTTCTGAGTTCCAGAAAACTTGCAAAGATATCGCTATGTTCAGTGACTCACTTAACATTACGGCTACCAAGGTAACCCTTGACAAATTATTTTTGATAGTTTTATACTTATGTTTTTATCAAGGCTGGTATCGTCTTCACTGGAAAAGGAGACACTGGTCAATCCGTTATCACCTACTCACCCAACAGCAGTGCTGATAGTGAAGATGAGGTTCGTAAAAATTTAGATTCTGTCATTTTTAGAAGCTGAAAAGCATGTTTAGGCTATAACTTTGGAAGTGACTGACCCGGTGAATGTCAACTTCTCAATAAAATACATGAACCAGTTCACGAAGGCCACAAATCTCTCCAGCCGCGTTCGCATTTCGCTATGCAACGACGTACCGATTGTGATCGAATATCCACTAACAGAGGATGGCAGACCTAGTGGTCAACAGCATGGACATCTGCGATTTTACCTCGCACCCAAGATCGACGACGAGGAGAACATGGACTAATCTCATCTTTCCAAACTCACTTTGCATTGTAACTCACATCTTCGTAATGTCTAAGATTGTCAGTTTTCACAAGTTTACACAGTGTTTGCTTACGCTTTACTTTGAATCTTGTTTATCGGTGTTCATAAACTGATCTCTATAATGGATGTTGTGAGCGTCATAGGTTTTCATGGGATGATAATGAGCCAAAAAATTGTTATCGTTAAGTTCTTGAAGAAGAAGGAGTTTAGTACCATGCAGGATTTTTCCGTCTTCATCGTGTGCTGTGTAGCGACGATAGATCAGTGGGAGATAAAATGATTCGTACACTACTAACTAACAAGAGGTAATCATAGCTTCTCCTTTACGACAAAATTTTTGAGGTGTACTTGTCCTCACCGTTTGTCACCATTGGTATACAGGCGATGTCAATGACGAGCTCACATTTCCGTAGC